TATATATACCTTATACACTTCTTCTTGGATCGAAAAAGAAAAAAACGAAATAAAAGAATAAGAAGTAGAAGAAGGAAAACGTGAGAGAGAATTGTTCGAAATCGTGGATGTTACCAACGGACTATGACGAATGAACTCATAACCCCTTAGAATCTCATGGTATTTTCTCCGAGCTTGTTAAAACGTGGTTGGCTTGGTAACGGTATAAAAAGAAAATTTTATATATATATATATAGATATATATAGTTATTTCTAACTGCGAGGTAAAACATCGTTTACTGTCTGTTTATAAGAAAGGTGATATTATTTTTCTGTTTATATATGTGCCATTTCTACGCCGGAGATTATTTTAATATTCTACTCTTATAAACGTAAGACCGTAAAACGAAGAGAAGACGAGAAGTTACAGTAATAATATTAATAACGTTAATACACGGCGAATAATTAAATCTGTTCATGAATATTCCAATGAAATGAAAATGAAATATCGGACGAGACGAATACTAAAAGAAAAATAATAAGAAAAGAAAAGAAAAAGAGAAAATATTGTTGAATTTCTTTAAAAGAAAGAAATGCACGATATCATACTTTTCTAACGCGATCAAATTTCAACTATAAATATACAAATATAATCTGATTGTAATTTTAACAAATAACGTTAACAATTTTTAATCAACCATATTATTACATTAACAAGTATTTGTAAGGATTGAATAAAGGTATATAAAAAAAAAAAACAGAGAAAATAATTAATAACGAATGAAAAACATAAAAAAAAAGCGGAAGAAATAAAAAATAAAGAGCTGGTAATGGACAATTAATTTTACTTACGTACAATCTCAGAACGATCTTTTCAAATCAGTTGTTTCTTTTACTTTCCACCAAGATAAAAGTGCAAGAGGGGGGTTGAACTGAGATGGGGGGGATTGTCTGTGATAGCACGTGAAACGATGATAGAAGTAGACTGAGGAGAGATTGTCCGGGCACGTAAGACGATAAATCACATGGTGGTTATGGCATGCTTCTGTGAAAAGAGAAAGAGAAAAAGTGAGATAGAGATGGAGAAAGTTAAAGGGATGAGTTTAGAGACGTGTGTCTCTATCTATGTATGAGCAACATAATGCTTCTAGTTATGCTATGCTATATACTATACTATACTATGTTATGTTATGCTATGCTATGCTATGCTAGGCTATGCTATGCTATGCTATGGTTATGCTATGGCTATGCTATGCTAGAGTTAAAGGAAAACTCTTGGTCCGTCGTTAACCAAATTGATATCGTTCCTCTCGTAAAGTTTACCCCGTATTTACCCCCCACCAAACATACAAACAACTCCTATATATATATATATATTTACTTACAACATATAAGATCGTATATATGCATATGATATATTCAATATACAAGATGTTTCAAAATATATGGCATAGCATAACTTTTGGAGTGGTTTTAGTAAGTTAAAATGAAAATGAAAAAAAAAGCTCATATAATAGAATCATACGATAAGATATGATTTTATTTTCTAGGAAGTAAAAGCGAATATATATATATAATAAAGATTATATAATAAGTATTTAAAAGAAAAAGAAGATATGTAGAATTAAAATAAAAAAATAATCAACACATAAGCATTGAAATTATAAATTAATTAATTATTGTACAATTTATATATTTAATATATTTGTTATATTATTATTCGATTTTATATTGAAAATAAATTTGAGAATTTGGATGATTAATTTAATTTTGAGTTTAGATGTTTTAAATTAATATATTAAATTTAATTGAGATTACTTATTGTGTTTCCAATTCCCCCTCCCCCGTGTGCAATTCATTTTTTCAGACCACGATATGTATTACTCGTACATGCATTTATTCATATGTGTATTCGTATAAATTTGCTTTCCTTCGAATAACATGTAGAAATAATTTAATTTGCATTGGTTAGGAAAAAGAATTTATTAAAGCAAAAATATATAAATCAGACGTGCCGTTAAATGTTTCAACAATTTTAACGAAATTAACGCAATAATATAATCCGAATGCTTGTTATGCAAACGTTCTTGATATGTTTTACTAATGTTTATATATATATATATATATATTAATGTGTGCATATATCTAGGTATATATGTATATGGATATCGATAATATTGGATCTGGACTCTCGCAAGGGTATAGTTAATATGATAAATACGTTACGATATTTCTTGCAATGATTAGTATTGTTTTTTCATGGATTTTAATATAAAAGTAAAAGAAGTAATATATATAAACTTATTTATTACAAATATATACACATTTAAATATTTGATTCGATTTTGATAAACGTAATAATAATTATCTAAAAAATTATTAACATTTAAACGAATGTTTTATAATATAAGAATAATTTCGTGATTAAAAAGATTCGTTCAGGTAGAAATAAAAAGAAAAACAAATCAAGTATATATATATACATATATGTAGAAATATATTGCGTCTTTTCGTGATTTTAGTTTGAATAATACAGAATTGAAAAAAAAAAAAACACGTTGTCACGATCGCAGTTTTCAAAGAGAGAAAGAAGTTTTAAATATCGCATACGTATTTGTATTAATATGTGTATGTGTATGTTTGTTTGTGTATGTGTCTATGTATCGAGCTATGACGCAAACGGTTCGATACTGGGCAGCATTGTTTCCAAATTCCGATTATAAGCGAGCTTCGATTCTGACGAGCTTATGTGTCTGACGGCTGTGGTTTCTTTGTGCATGTTGACACAGAACTAAAGCTTTTTCGTTGTATTTAAGAAGAGTGGTGAAATTACGGATATATATATATATATATGAAAGATTTATTTTGATAATTTAAATTTAGAAAGAAAATTATTGTATTATATATATTTTGTGTGTTGTGATTTAAATTAATCTTTTTATTTAAAAAATATTGAACTGAAAATAACGAGAAAATAAATTGATCGTTTTAAAAATTAATTGAAAAAGATATTTTAAAGCGATTGAAAAAATTTCGTAACAACCATTCGTGGAATAATATTTTATGCAATTTCAATAATCCACAAGCGATCATATTTATTTAATGATATTATTTAACTTTAAACGAATTTTTGTTGTCGTTGAAATTGTTAATGATATAATGACAAATTTATATATAACGAATAAAGAAAAATTGAATAAATCCTATTTGGATCGGAGAGGAAAAAAGAAACATAAACACGATACCAATTAATAATAATGAAAAATTTAAATAGATTCCCATTTAAAAATATTAATATCAACGAATAATAAAATAATACTATATATATATAACGTAAGAATGAAATATTAATATTACAAAAATATAATATCCATAATTTTGTTCTCTTTATTATACAGTATAATAAATCTTATTAACTTCCTCTTCGATTATATTATATTTAATCAATCAAGCTCGTGAAAAAAAAAAAAATGAAAAAACGGAAGTAAAAAGGTAAAAAAAAAAAAGAAAAAAAGTAAAGACGCGTGAGATGATTCGTTAAAATGGACGCCAAACGTTCCTAGTTCTTATCGAGAATTCGAAGAAGAGAGGATCGAGGAGGAAATTAGAGAAGAGCAGCTTGCGGAGATGGTGCTAAAATTGCTTTCACGATCGGCCGACGTCCCTTCACTCCACTTTCTCCTCCTCCTCCTCCTCCTCTTTCTCCACACCTATATCCACACCCATATCCACACCCACTTCCTCCTTTTACTTCTCTTACACCTTCACCATCATCCTTTCCTCTTATATTCCCCTTTACTCTTCCCTTCTTCCAACTTCGTCGACCCTTTATCGCTTGACTCCTGCTAAACCGAACACAGAGGTTTTAACTAATGGCTACTCTTTACTTCCAAATAATTCGTAATTCACGATCAAGTTATCACCCTCTGTAATGCAATCTTAAAAATCTCTGTGTAAATCTACGAATTAAAAATAAACAATTCGCGATTTTAATTCGTAAGGATTCTTGACTAATATTCCCTATC